TGGGAGAGGCCTCCACCCCACCTCCAGAGCTGCCTCTGGGCTGTGTCCCCACATGGCCACATCTGACTCCAGAAGCCCCCCCCATCCCCTCACCCTGCCTCTGGCATGTCCTGAGGGCACCCCACACTCTCAAGCCGCTGGGACCCCCTCATCTGGAGTGAGGTCCTGGGCGCAGCCTGGATGGGGCAGGGTCAAAGGTTCCAGTTGGCCACTTCCACTTTGGGGACCATGAGGCTGAGAATCCCAGGAATGACCCCAATTCTATCCCAGCCGCTCAGCCCAGTCCAGGCCTGTCACAGGGGCTGGCACTCCTGGTGGCTGGAAGGAGCTGGACCCTCCCCAGCTCACAAGGAGGGGCCAGGCCCAGCAGCTCAGCTGTGGCACCTGCTCACCCTCACATGCCCAGGGGTGCTGGGCCAGCCACATGGCTTCAGGGGGCCAGGACCAGGCTTGCATCCAGGCTCTGAAGGTGTGGGTGGCCCCCCGGGCCACTGAAGATGAATGGAGTCCCAGTCCCCACCCACTGCCTTTGCCAGCCAGCCTCTCTGGGGCCCACCTCTAGCCGCCTTCCATTGTCTCACTCCAAGCATTGCCCAATTCTAGCACATGTCAGACACTCTGGGCGGGGCCTGGCAGCTGGGATTCCAGGTTGCAGAGGGTCCCCTGCCCCCGCCGTCTTGCCTCTCAGAGAAGTGATCCAGGCAGCCTACTATGCTCCTCAGAGCTCTTCCAGCCACTGCCTGCTGGGGTTGGACCCCAGCAGGTCCAGGGGTCCCCAAAGGTGTGGACGGAGTCGGCGAAGAAGGAATGACACGGAGACAGCGTTTAGTTGATCAGCAGCCTAGCCAGGATCTCTAGCCAACTTCTGGTCAGGATCTCCAGCGAAGTTCTGGTTAGGATCTCTAGCCAGGTTCTGTGTCCATGTTCTCTTGCTAGGTTCTCCAGCCAGGTTCTCCAGGTTCTCCAGCCAGGTTCTGTAGCCATGTTCCCTTGCTAGGTTCTCCAGCCAGGTTCTGTGTCCATGTTCTCTTGCTAGGTTCTCCAGCCAGGTTCTGTCCAGGTTCCCCAGCCAGGTTCAGTCACCAGGTTCTAGTCAGGTTCTCTTGTCAATTTCTTAGTCAGGTTTAGTCCAGGATCTTTTGCCATGTTCTCTCGCTAGGTTCTGTCTCTAGGTTCTGAGGCCAGTTTCTGTCCAGGATCTTTTGCCATGTTCTCTCCAGCGAAGTTCTTCTGCCTCTAGGTTCTGTGTAGGTTCTGTGTCTAGGTTCTGTGTCCTGTTGTCTTGTTACATCTGTATTTATACCAGTTGATTCCAATCCTATCAATCTCTATTCCAGAGGTTAGGGCATTTCTTATCTCCATTCCAGGGAGTAAAGATTATGTAGCTTAAGCATGATTGTTCGTAGTTAAAGTGATTAATTACCCGCCTGGCACTTAGTTAAGGGGTTTTATTCCCTCCCTAACTTCAGGGGAAAATCCCTACCTGGGGAAACAACCTTTCTCAGAGTGGTGACCTTGGTTAAAACACATAGTGCCAAGAAGGTGAGCAAACATATTAAGAACAGTAAGCCATATATGCCAGGTCCCTTGAAACAGCAAGGATGGGCCGGCTCCCGGCAGCTGCCCACTTCCAGTTCCCACCCCAAAGCCACTTCCACCTTCTGGTGTTTGCTGCAGCGACACTGCCTTCCGGGGACCACAGTGGACATTCGTTTCCTATGGCGGCTGTAACCACCCCAAGTGCGGTCTGAACACAGCACACGTTCATCCTCTTACAGGGCCAGAGGCACCGAGTCCGGTCAGCGGCTGCCAGGGGCGGGCAAGGCTGCATCCTTTCTGAGGATCCTCCCTCCCTCGCCTTTCCCAGCACCTGGAGACATCTGCGTTCCCCCCACGGCCTTTCCTCCGGCCGTGCATCCGTCCCACCCGGCTCCCACCCTCTCATCTCCTCTCGCTGACAATCCCTCCCTCTCCCAGGACCTGTGATCACACGAGCCCTGAGCAATCCAGGATCATCTCCCATCTCCAGACCCTTTTGCAGGGGAGGCAACATTCACAGGCGTGGGGATTAGAACGCGGGCATCTTTGGCCCAAAGACTTTAGGGCCACAGGAGTGGCAGAGCTGCTTCGCCAGTCCCAAGCCCTGTCCAGAGGGCTTGTCCAGAACTGAGGGGCCATGAGGGATGATCAGGCCACCGTTCTGGCCCACATGCTGGCCGGAGCCCAGCGCTCCAGGAAGCCTGGCGCCTCCCCTGCGGTCGCCAAGGACAGCCTGTGCTCCTGGCAAGGCCCGTGCCGACAGGTGCACTCGGTCCTGGAAGTGGCCAGGCCTTCGTGGCCTCCTCTCCCTGCTGACAGGACTATGTGAGCTTCTGTCGGGTCAGAGATGAGCCTCATGGAAAGTTCCAGCTCCGTTCTAGAAACGGATTGGTGTGACACGTACTGGTGTGACACGCATGGAGTGCGGGGTATGCCAGGCCCATGTGGAGCCTGAGGAGACAGCCAGGTTTCCAAAGCTGGGGGCGGAACACCCGTGGTGCTGGCGAAGCTTGGGCCAGGGCTGGCGGGGAGAACAGAGGTCAGGCGGTGTCCCGAGGAGGCTGCTGGTGGCGGAGCCTGAAGGAGTGTGAGTCAGATGGCAGCGCGGGGCAAGGGCGCTGCTGACAGCCGCCTGGGCTGGGCGAAGGGAGGGAGGCATGGCTTGGGAATGGAGTTCTGCAGTCAGGCCGCGTCTGGGGCAGCAGAGAAGAGTCCAGAAGTGGCCTGGCCAGCGTGTTAAGCAGTTAGAGCGTCAGCCCGTGCACAGAGGCTCACTGTTTGACTCCTGGTCGCGGGCACACACTTAGGTTGCAGGTTTGATCCCAGTCCATTGGGGCAAGTGTGGGAGGCAACCAATGGATGTGTCTCTCTCTCTCTCACCAGCCCCCTTCCACTCTCTTTACAAAAATCAATGGAAAATGGCCTCAGGTGAGGATTAACAAAACAAACAAAAAGAATCCACAAGCGGCCAGATGGACACCCGCAGGGCTGCAGTGGCCTAAGCCTGGCCGGCCCTGTTCTGCCAGGAGCAGAGGGTCTGGGGCGGGCCGGGCCTTTCCCAGCGCCTCCTCCTCCGCCTCTTCAGACCTGGGCTCTGCAGGCCACTGACCCCCGTGAGGTCATGGGGAGCCGGCCCGGGTTTAGGGCAGGGATTGGGGAGTTTCGGCCCTGGGCCCAGGTGGGAGTGGGCGAGAGCAGGAAGGGTTCAATAAAGCAACCAGATGCATCCCACCGACAAACCCATGGGCAGCTGGGAGACAGCCAGCTGGGAGGTGGTCTGCTTCCCCAGCTGTCAGAGGGAACAGGCTTGTCTGCCCCGAGCACGCCATCAGACCCCGGCGCCCTCTGCCCATGCAGGGCTCTGCTGGAGGGCGGAGCGGGCAGCAGACATGTCTCTCAGGGGCCACCTCGCCCTGTGTCCTCCTGCTGTCCCACCTCCAGGGCGCAAGGAGGCAGCGTCTCTGGCTCCGGCTCCAGGAGGGGGGGGGGCGGGATGGGCGGTGGCCTGCTTTCCCCGGGCTGGAGCCGGCTGCTCTGGCCTGACCTCAGGGCTCTGCGCCCTGGTGAGGAGGGAGAGGTGGGGCGGTGGGGAGACCAGCTGCCGGGCTGCAGCTTCCTGTGGCTCCAGCTCCAGAGGCAAAGAGAAGTTGAACCTAAGACTGAAACCCCGCCTCCCCTCCCTGCAGAGTTCCGCGTCTCTGTCTGCCCGTCGGTGCCAAGCGCCAGGTGCCCGAGGACACAGGACCCGCCTCTGCTCCCTCTGAAGCACAACACCCGTGAAAGGGCGTCCCAGGCTCACCCCACCCCCTGCCACCGTGAGATAAAAGCGCTTGGGCCCATTTCTCAGGCTTGGAAGCCAAGGCTGAGGGAGGTGAAGGCATCTGCCCAGGCCACACCATGGTGAGGGGCAGAGGCTGGGACCTGCACCCAGGCTGGTGTGGCTCCGACATGGAGCTCCATGTCCAAGGCCCCACCGGGCCAGCAGTTGCGGCTGGAGGCCCCGCCCCGCCAGTCCACTTGGCTGGGCCTCTTTCCCGGGGGAGTCCAGCTTTTCGGCTTTCTGGGAAGGATGCTGTCCCAAGGGTGGCTCCTGCTTCAGTGACCTCAGTGGTCCCTACGCTGTCATCTGCATCATTATTCCTTGGCGGCCATGCTTGCCAAGGCCTTCCCTTCCCTCAGCGATGGGCCTGCGGTCAGGAGGGTGAGCTTCCGGGGAGCCAGCCCCAGCAGAGGTGTGGCCCTGGCTGGGGGACAGGGGACACCAACTGCTGGTCAGGGAAGCCAACGGCACAGGAAGAGGGGAGGGCAGCGCTGGCGAGGACCTGGCGGGCAGAGGCAGAGCACAGGGCACAGGAGGCCAGAGCCTCGCTTGGCTGTTCCCCGCCCAGCCTTCCCAGGTTCCTTCCGGAACAGCCATGAAGTGGAGTCCCTGCCCAGGGAGTGGGCACTCGATGCCAACGACACACTCCGCCGAGCTGACAGAGCACAGGAGGCTACCGCCGCCTCTGGCCCTGGAACCAGAAGAGCCAGCGTCTCAAAGTTGCTACCCAAGGTCCCACGCGAGACAATCCCAGAACCCTGCTCCAGCAGAGAATGCTGCCACCAGCCACAGGCACCAGCAGGCCAGGCCCTTGCAGTCACCGGGAGGAAGGGGAGTGTGATGGATGAGCCCGCCTGGCTGCCAGGTCCCTCTGAACCCCCTGGTACAGGCTCCACCAGCACCTGCCAACCTGTAGGTTCCCTCCAGGCCCCTGGCAGGCACGAGTCTGCACAGACCAGAGCTGCGGGGAGGTCGCACTGGGTCTGCAGGGAAGCGTGGGAACTCGGCCAGGTGGTGGAGGGCCCGGCATGCGAGGCCAGGAACACCTGGGTGCCGCCCTCCACACCGCTCCCATGCCACCCTGCTGGGCGAAGGGTCAGAAGACCCACAGACCAAGGTGACAACACATCAGGCCACCATGTCCGCCCTTGACACTTTATTGGCCAGCTCTCCCCGCTCCCGAGCTGTCCCACCAGAGACGCTAAGCAGCTGCACCGGCCCTGCTGGTGGGACGGAGCCAGACTGGGCACCTGGGTCCCTCAGCTCCGGAGCTGGACTGGGGGTGCCCTTGCTCTTTGCTGCCCCGGGAAGCAGAAAGGACACCTCTCCCTTCCTTTTGCCCCAAGTCTCCTAAAATGGAGAGCAAGGCATCCAGAGCCGCGGGAATGCGCCAGCACCAGCTCTGGAAGGTGCCCACCCCTCCCAGGAGCAGTCCAGAAGGAAGTGTCATCCGGGCACTCCGGCAGACTGGGGCGCTGGCCAGGCATCCACAGGGCAGCCACGGTGCGGCCCAGACCTCCGGATATGCAGGAACCGGGGCCTAGGACACAACAAGGAGCCAGTCACTGCCTGGGCCCGGGGAGGAGCAGGGAGTGGGAACAGCACCCTGTCCCCAGCCAGAGCCGATGGGCCAGTGGAAGGACCCGGGGCTGTGGGGCTGGGGGGGTAGCCTCACCTCCCGCAGAAGTCCTTGCGCACAGCCACGAGCTCGAGGGACAGGCCCGGCCGGCTCTGAAGCCAGCTGCTGACCAGCTCTGGGTGTCTGGGGTCCACTTCTAAGAAGAGGCTTCTACGTGGGGGAGAAAAGGGCCAGCTCAGCCGGGCAGGGCTGTGACCGCCAGGGCAGGCGCAGAACACACTGACCAGGGGACCCTTGCCCTCCCTACCCGGAGTCCTTCAGGAGCCGAGGGGCCAGGGCCAGGAGGTGCACGATGACGTCCATGCCCTTCTCCCCGCCATCCAGGGCTGCGGGGTCTTCGTAGCTGAGGGGAGCAGGGGGTGAGAACGGGACAGGCGCGAGGGAGAGTGTGCAAGAGCTGATCAGAGCCTCCATGAAGGGCCCGTGCCCTGGCACGCTGGGCTGAGAGGACGGCTGAGGACCCAGAGGAGGACTCAGATGCCAGCAGCTCCAGCTCCCCCGATGGCCCACCGGCAGCACACCCCAGGCAGTGCCCCGGGCATGAGCCTGTCTCCCCACAACAGGCTGCTCCTATTCTGGGTCTGGGGAGGCCTGGGGCTGGCCCTGCCCACCCTGGGAGCCTGGGAAGGGGAGCCAGCACCCTGACCCACAGCCACTGCCCGTGTGGGGGCTCTTGGGCTACCCCAGGCTCTCAGCCCATCGGAGAGCAGGATGGCTCAATGCAAAGCCGGAAGTAGTTTTGGTCTCAGCTTTCCTGCTAAGTCCCCCATGACTTGGGGCAAGGCGCCTTCCCCCTCCGGGCCTCAGTCTTCTGTAAAACGAGCACCTTCGATGCATTCTGATCTGACATTCTACAGTGTCACCACTGAGCCCTCCATGGCCTGCAAAGCTCGGCCACCCCCTTTCAGAGGCAGGAAACTGAGCTCAGAGAGGCCAGCGGTCGTCCCGTGTCCTCAGGAAGGCAGAAGCCAAACCCAAGTGGGTCTGTGGGCTCTGGAGTGAGCTCCCTTCCACCGACAGCATCCCTCAGCCTCTCCTCCATCCCTCCCCCTCCCCCACAGTGGTCCTCCAGGGCAGACCCCTTCCACTCGCCCTCAGGCCAGCCCGTCCCATCCCACCCCCCACCCCACCCCGCACCTGCGGATCTCAGGGGCCAGCTGCTCCATGTCCTGGTGGAAGACGTAGGGAGGGTTGCTGACGAGCAGGTCCATGGGGCCCCAGGGCAGGTGTGCCCAGCTGCCCTCTGTGGTCACAGGGATCACAGCAGAGAATGGGAGGTAAGAGTGGAGCTCCGCCCACCACCATGCCCCTGGGAGCCTATCTCTGGACCCGATAAGCCAGACTTGCAGGTCAGTGCCCAGGCCCCCAGGGACCAGAGGGGCACTCAAGTATTTCAGTCTTAAAGGATTTCTCTTGAGCTTCTGCTTATCTCTTGACAACAAAGCAGCGCTAGATAACTCATTAGTTACAGGGATTTGGAAGATAAGAAAAACCCTAGGGCTGGTCCCCTCCAGGGTCAGGTCAGCCCAGGAGGCAACAGGGCCTGGCCTGTCCTCAGCAAGGATTGGTCTGATACCCCCTGTGTGCATGCATGTGCATACGTGTGCATATATGTGCATGTGTGTGCATGTATTTGTGTGTGTGTGTGAGAGAGTAAGTGTTGGGAAGCCTCCCCCAGCTCTGCAGACTGCCTCATCCACCTAGCAGCCCTGTCCGCAGGACCCCACCCCAGGGAAGCTGGGTGCGGCAGGTACCTGAGGTCACATCGAGGGGGGCGATCCGAATCCTGTCCTGCAGCTGAAGCCTGGAGAGATGGAAAGGGCTGAGCACAGGGCAGACTCCTACCCTTGGCTATGAGGCCTGGGAGGATAAGCCCTTCCCGGGCTGTGAGACGCCTGGGCCCACGATCCACTGTATCCCCCTGGGAGCCAGCCAGGCTGCCCAGTGCCTCCCCCTTCTCGGGAGTGGACGTCGGTGGGTTTGCTACCTGAGCAGGGGCTGAGATCAGGCCCGAGCCCGATGCCCCGCACCCTGACCTTCCGGTCCCTGAGCCCGCCTACCTCTGAGCGTTCTCTCGGGCCAAAGAGATGGCGGCTCCTGCCTTATCCACAGCGATGACTCGGCTCTGCCCCAAGAACAAGGGAAGGGCACATAGGAGGCAGGTGCCGGGAGAGGCCAGGCCTGGGACCACAGCCTCACCAGCCCCGGCCAGAGAAGGAGGGATACCCACACCTCTCCCCTCCCTGCGCCAAGGTCTGGCCAGACAGAAGGTATGGGAGGTGGAGGCTGTGACCAGGCGGGCTGGGCTGCCCTAAGCCTGGTAGCTGCCCCTCCAGTGCTCCCAGCAGAGACGGGGGCAGGGCCAGTGAGTACCAGCCAGTCTCCTGGGAGGGGAGGGGTGCTGAGGACGCTCACCTGGGGCAGCTGGCTCAGCAGGCTGAGGGAGATGGCTCCCGACCCACAGCCCACCTCCAGGATGAGGGGGCCGCCTTGGGCTCCCACCGCACGGGGCTTCTGGGTCACCTCCTCCAGCACCCACTCGACCAGCTCCTGCAAGGCAGCGCGGTCTGGATCAGAGGAAGGGTCAGCCTGGCCCCCTGGGTCTTGGCACAGAGACCAAGCCTCCTGCTGGGAACCCACCCCCAGGAGCAGCGGTCACCTGCCCCAGGGTAGCGAGTCCGAGGCAGCAGAGCTTGGCTGGCGGCCGCCTTTCCTGTTCCAAGCCCCACTGCACCGAACAGCTATGCCCCCGGCCTGTTCCAAGCCCCACTGCACCGAACAGCTATGCCCCCGGCCTGTGCCAAGCCCCACTGCACCGAACAGCTATGCCCCCGGCCTGTTCCAAGCCCCGCTGCACCGAACAGCTATGCTTATGAGGGAGATGACCTGGCTCCAGGCAGAGGCACTGCCCTCAGGTGCCCCCGGCCTGTGCCAAGCCCCGTGGAAACTCGGGTGCTGGCAGCAAACGGGGCCCATGGGAGCTGGGGCACCAAGCAGCTGGGGCTGTGGCCGGGACCTGCGGTCTCGGTGGTGAGGCCGTGCGCCGAGCAGCTGGTGGGAGGCCGAGGCTGTCAGGTGGGAGGCTCTCTTGGTTTCCTGGCCGCAGACAAACCTGCTCTGGCTGGAGAATGACCCCTCAGCCGACCACACTGGCCACCACTTCACAGACACCCCAACCTCAGAGACACAAGCCACAATGTGAATGGCTGCCGGGCAGGCTGTGAGGCTGAGACTGTGCCCGCCGCCTCTCTCTCACACACAGACCACAGGAGGGTCCTCCGGCTGTGGAACCACCGGGGGGGAGGGGGGACCACACCCAAGGAGCCCCGACACTCCCTTCCTGACCCCGTGAAGGACCTCCCTCAGCGTGAAGGAGGCCCCTGGGGGAGGCTGCGAGCCAAGCCGGTCGCAGGCCCAGGCGCCTTCCCCAGGTGAACGAGGACAGAGTGGGGTGCGGGCAGAGGGGCACGCAGGAGGGAGAGGGGGAGCAGGCAGTGGTCGGCTCTGCCTGGAGCCACTGCCTCCACAGGACCCCACCCCCTCAAGAGGCTGGCCTGGGCCTCAGCAGGACCTGGTGCCACGAGCACCCCTGCCAAGATCTCGTCCCTGTGGGGTGTCCCTGTGGGGCGTCCCAGGACGGTGCATTGCCTCCCTCCAGCCCATCACAGAAAGGCCCTGACCCTCCCGCACCCGCAGAGCCTCACACCCAGGCCGACGGGAACGGCTCCCCCTCAGTCTGGGCGTCTCGTCGTACACCCCGCAGGCCCAGCCCGAGCCGCCTCCCACCCCAGGGAAAACCTGACCCGCCAGGCCACACGCCTACCACTTGGCATCTGACTTCTGCCCCCATTATCAGAAACCACCCTCATGGGCGAGAGAAAGCAGGCACCACGATCCCTCGCATGTACCCGCGCTCCCACTGCCCGCCACAGGCCACGTCCTCTCCAGTTCTTGGTAAGGCCCCCCCCGGTGTGGCTTCACACTGGGTAAACTGGGCAAGTTCTGAGAACTGTCTGTACAGTGAGGCGAGGACTTGAGCTCCCAACCACAGCCGCCCCTCTCCCCCTCCCGCTGCACAGAGCTGCTCTCTGGCCCAGACCCAGCCAGGAAAGGGGGGCCACAGTAGAGCCGGAAGTCTACACTCAGACCTGGGAGTACATGACTGGGGCCAGGTCAAGCCTAAGGGGACTCAGAGGTCATCACGGTAGCTTCCCTCCCAGACCCTGACCCTTGGCAGCTTCAGGGAACCCTGAGTGAGCTCCTGGCTAGAGGTCACATGCTTGGGGGAGCCACAGGGCCTCCCAAAGCCTGTAGGTGGCAGGCCACATCCTACTCTGTCTCAGCTCCCCTTCCCGGCTCAGCCAGTCTCATGTGGGACAGGCCCATGGAATTTATGGGGCCCTGACTGGGGAGTCAGGGTGTCTGAGTGCTGCCCCATGCTGCCTGCTTCTTCCCTCCCCCCAACCGTGCCAGCCCTCAGCAGCCCTGTGACTTCAGCAAGGTCTGAGGTTCCTACTGTCCCCCCTGACACTGGGCAGTGAGGTGGGTCCCCGGCTGGACAGGCAGATAAGGCCTGGTCTTTCCCAGGAATGTTTGTGTTTCTAGAAACACCCCCTTCTCAGAACTTGGCACCCTCTGGCTTCCCCCACCAGCGCCCCCCCAGCAACAGCCCCTGCTCTTCCCTGGTTCCAGCTGTGCCACCTATGAGGACAGAGGGAAGTCCAAGAAGAGTCACAGAACATCCCGGATCGGGGTGCCCGGCCAGGCGACCCTGCTGGGGCCACCTCCCCAGTCCTGCCGACTTGAGGGACAGAGGTGATCACTTCACCAGATAGTAGATCTAAAAGGACCCTCATCTGGAGGCCCAACCCGCTCATCGTCTGGGCCCAGAGGGGGCAGTGAGCTGCTGGGGTCACACGGCTGTACCAGGCCCCCAGGTCCCCAGCGAGAGCCCTCCCCGCTTCAGCTCCGCCTCCCGAGAAAGAGGACATCCATTTCCTACAGGGTCTACGGGTTGGGTAGGCCACTGGCCAGAGGGACGACTCCCAGGGGAACGACAGGCACAGACGAGGCACTTGGTAAACAGAACCAGTTGCGGTTCCCGGAGCCACCGCAAGCCCTGGTGGCAGGGGCGGTGGCTTCGGATAAAAGGACAGTCAAGGAAGCCAGCCGGAGACTTCTGTCCTCTGGGCCCCATCTACCCAACCAGCCAGGACACAGCGGCTTGCCTGGAAGGATAGCAGCCATGGGGTCCCAGCGCCCTCTGGAGGAAGTCTGGGGCAAGACAAGTGTTCTGAACCCCACACTCCTCGCCAGGCGGCTGTCCTGTGGGCACACCTACCTCTGTCTCAGGCCGAGGGATGAACACTGGGGGTGCCATCTTCAGATTGAGCCCGCGAAAGTCCCACTCGCCAAGGATGTACTGCACGGGCATCCTGCAGAGGGGCGGGGGTTAGAGTGCAGACCTGGGCCAAGAGGAGGCGCTTGGGGTCAGGGATACGTCACACTTGCGGCCGAAAGTGTAAGGTAGGGTCACATCTCCTGGGCCCCGGGACCCTAGCCAAGGCCTTCCCTCCCTACCTTCTTCCTGTTTATTACTCTGACCCCCCCTCTCATCACTCCCTCATCCCAAACACCTCCCTAGCCCTTGGACACTCCTCCTCCCTGATCGTGAACTTGGGGCTGGGGGGAGAAGCAGAAGCCCCGCCCCTCACGGAGCCCTCGGGGCCAGCCCACGGGAGCTCACCTTTGCAGTCTGCGGCTACTCAGCTCCTGGACACACTGTAGCTGCCAGGGGGTCAGGGGCTTCGACCGAAGTCCCGGCCTCAGGCTCTGAAACTGTCCCACAGAGGATGTGAGTGGCTGGCTCCCCTGGCCCAGAGGCCCTGGCCCAGGTTTCTTATGTGGACAACGCATATAGGCCCCACCCTGGCCATCCCTGGCCACCAAGCCTGGCACACATCATAAGAGTTTGTTGGATGGAAGAGGAAGTATCCGCCTAAGGCATTCCTCCAAAAAAAATAGTGTCACCCTTAGAGCAGCCCTCTCAGTGGGGCCGAGGAGCCCGGGAGTCCCTTCCCCCAGGTCCCCCTCCCCCCAACACCCTTCTCCCCAAGGTGCTCTGGCCCCCCCACTGGACATCACTGCACTTAACTGTTTTGGCTCCAAGGACATGAGCCACGATGTACTCACTGGATTCCCGGGCCTCAGGGATGCCCCTCTTCTCAAAGACCGCCGTCCACTGGCTGACCAGCTCTGTGGCACTCAACCCAGCCTGAGGCAGGTGGGGTCGCCAGGAACTGAAGGCCCGGCCCCAAGTGCCTCCCCGCCTCCCGGGGCCAGACAGTAGGGCCCGCAGCATTCCACCCCAAAGCTCCATGTCTCCGGGAAGGCTCCCCTGAGCACGCCCAAGTCCCCACGTCGTCCTTGCGATGTCAGCCGAGGCCGGTCACTGGCCCCGCTGGGGGAGAGGCAGAGGTCACGGCTCTGGCCTTCAGGCGTGCTGCCCACCTGGCGGAGGGAAGGAGAGCCAGTCCAGCCGCTGAGCCCCATGGCCCACTCCCTCTGACTTGCTGCCAGGAGAGGGCTCACTCTGGCGCTGTCACCTCCACGACTCCATTTTGAGCCTCCCCCACCTATTCGGTCCTTCTGGTCTTGGCCAGTGATGTTCCTTCACGCTGTTAGCGGAGGTGGGTTGAACCCACAGCTCAGTCCCTGCTGATAAATGGGCCAGGGCCCGGGCGTGGGTGTTGAACAAATCTGTGTGACCCAGAGTAGGTGGCCTTGGGGAAAAGCATCATTTCCGGGTCTCGGTTCCCTTGTCCATCACATGGGGGAAATAACACCAATTTTATGACCAGCGGTGTGTTTGTCCCTGAATGTCAAGGGTCTGGGAGCCAGCCCAGCAGTCAGAAGGGACTCGATGTTATATGCTCTGGACTAATATTACGGGGGCGGGCGGGGGGGCTGCCTTTGCCGGGCTCTGCTTTTGCTATTTTGCCTGGACTGTCATAGATTTGGACGTGGAAATGCCACGCCCCCCAATTCAACCCATAACCCTACATGGCGGCATGACTTGCCAGCTAACATGCTGACAATTTCTGCTCATTTTGCACTTGAGTGCACAAACTCTTCACGGAAGGTGTTGAGTCAGTGATGCCCTTTCCTTTCAACGGACCAAGGTCCCGACAAGCTCGACCGAGCCTGTCCTGGGTGCGCATCTGCAGAGCAGGCGGGAGCAAAGGGGGGCCGGCCCGACGTCACCAAACCCAGGGCCCCGGCCTGTCCACCGAGCGCCGCGGAGGCCGAAGCCAGGGGCCCAGCTTCCCTCTCGCTCCCGCACCGCAACGTCCAGGATGCGAGCAAGTCGCCTCCGCAGCCCATTTCCCCTTATGCACACGGGGCTGGGGGTGAGGTTCTCCCAGATGGTGCAGCCCGGGCACCCCACGCCCCTCCCGACCCCCACCTCCAGCGCATACCTGCGCGAAGGAATACCCGACCCGCCCGCGAGCCCCGAGAGAAGGCCCGGGGCCCGGATCCCGGAAGTGCGGGCCCGCGGTGCGCTCCCTCGGACGCCCGGCTTCCGGGTCGGCGCAGCGGAGAAAGGGCTCGGGCGGACCCCGTGGCCCAGCTCCAGGGTTCCTAGAGCCACCGAGTAGCTCCCGAGAGTCCCTTGCGGGCGGTGAACGCCCCCTCCCACTGCACCCGCGGGCCCCCCGAGCGGGAAAGTGCGCGGCGGTGTGCGGGGTTGCTCCGTGGGGGGCCGACCTCCCGGAAACACGGCTCCAGCCCGCGGTGACTGCTCCGAGCTGGCGTGTGGGTACCGGGCCGGCGGGAGGTAGCCAGTCCGGAAGGAGGCGTGTCATCAGCCGGTCCTGGGTTCGAGAATTGATGCTAAGTCAAGGGGCGTGGTCTAGCAGAGGCAATGGGCAGATAGAGCTGCACCTGTGCGGGTCCCAGTGTTGAGGCGGGTACCACTTTGGAGGGCGGGACCCTGGACCCTGTCCAGGACCTGGCGAGGGAGTGAACCGAGCCATGCGGGGGCGGGGGCAGGTGACAACGGAACCCCAGGGCGGCTCTAGTTCCTCTCGCTCCCGCTTTAGGGTTGGAAGCAGGAGACCAGGGCTTGAACCGCGTCGTGAGGCTTTGCCCAGGTGCCCGGCCCTCCATGTCCAGGTGCCCAGCTCTCCATGGGCCTCAGTTGCTCCTGTGAAATTCACCGCAGTGTCCCGCAGTGTGTCCGGCCAACGCCCCCACCCCTCCCCAGAATCTGTTATTAACGAGATCACTGTTCACCAAACTAGTGAAAATGCAGTTCCCCGGGCTCCGTCCCGGCCCCGGGGAGCCCCCTGGAATCGATAACTGTAACAAATTACTTCCATGATCCCCCATAAATTCCTTTGAAAACCTGAGGATTCGAAGGTATCTGAAGGCCGGCATGGCTCAGTAGTTGAGCATCGACCTATGAGCCAGGAGGTCACGGTTCGATTCCTGGTCAGGGCTCGTGCCCGGGTTGCGGGCTGGATCCCCAGTGTGGGGCGTGCAGGAGGCAGCTGATCCATGATTCTATCTCATCACTGATGTTTCCAACGGTCTCTCCCTCTCCCTTCAAATCAATAAAAATAACTGTAAGAAAAGAAGGTATCTGAAGGCCCCTCCCTGAGCTGAGCTGATAGCGCCCTCGATGGAGGCTATTGTGAGGGGTGCACGTGGGCCGGCTGGGTCCGGGTGCCCAGCACTTCCACTCCCACCATCACACCGCCCCTCTCCCCAAGCGCAGTGCCCGCCCGCGTGTGGAGCGCGGGTCTGTCCTGGCGGAGGTGGAGTCGGGCTGGCCCAGGGCCCGAGCTCCGGCCCAAGAAGGGCCTGGTCACCCACGGTGCCCGCGGGACTCCTGCTGAGGCCACGGGAGTGAGGGGTGGTGTCCGAGAACTACCACCTGGTTCCCGCTGGGGGCGGAGCCTTATCGAGCGACAGGCGAGCCGACCAATAGAGGACGGGATCTGGGCCTGGCAGCCAACCGGAGCTCCGTGGGCGGTGCCGGCGGGGGAGAGGAGGCGCTGGAGCATCACGGATCCGCGAGGCTGCTCGCTGGACCCCGCCCCCCGCGGAGGGTCCTGCCCTGCCCTCCCGGCCCGGCTGTCGGAGCGGGCGCTCGCGGCTGCGGGCGGTGCGGAGCCGGCTCAGCCCGGGCGCGGAGCGAGCAGGGAGGGCGGACCCGCCGCCCTTCACCCCAGGCCCGGGGGTTCCCCCGCCCGGTCCTGCCTGTGGCCACCACCCCCAGCATCTCCGAAAGGCTGAGCTGCGCGTCCCGGAGAGGATTAGGTAAGCGCTGAGGCCGCCGCTTCAGCAGGAACGGAGGGATCACGGATGGCGGAGGCGGGATGGGCACTGGTCAGGGAGGACTGAGGACCCTGGTGGAGAGCGGAATGCGGTTCTCGGAGGTCGCGACCCCTTTCACCCCGGCTTCTCGTGCCCTTTAGTCCCCAACAGTGGTGAGCAAGGCCTTTTCTCTCCTTTGGACACAGGAGTAAATGAGCGCCAGAGTCAGGGTTAAGGGTCTGGCCCAAGGTCACTCCTGGGGTCAGTGGCAGAGCCAGGAAAGGACCTGGGGCTCCTGACCTGCCCAGCCTCGATGGAGGGAGAGGGCAGGGCGTGAGAGGAGCGAGCCTCTCCCATTCCATGTCCGTCTGCCAGCCGTGCCCCTTCCTAAGGGACCAACCAGCACGGGTGTGTGCAAACCTCACACACACCCATCGCCTGCCCGGGGGAGGCACCCCGTAGAGCCAGGAGCAACCACGGGGGTCTGTGTGCAGCTGTGTGCTGTGCACCCCTCTTCTCCCCAGCCTGGCTGGGACCCCTTCCCACCCTGCCTTACCCAGGGCCCCCCGGCCTGGGAAGGTCTCAGCCCCACCCTGGGCTGGCACCTCGCCCACCCTCTGGTCCCAAGGGAGGAGGGAAGGGGAGGAGAAGGCACCTCGGAGGGAGAGCTCCACCCGTGCTCAGAAGGCGCGCTTCCTTGCCTTTCTCCTTGGCCCTGGCAGCCACGAGCTCCCCTACAGGGGGTCAGTGACCCCAAGAGCCTGCCAGAGGGCGTGACTATGGCTTCTTTCCCTCCTGCCTCCTGGTCTCCCTGTACCTGTCCCCACCCCCACTCCACACACAGCCTGGGTCACACCGTGAGCTGGGTCCGGGGGCTTCTGTGACTTCCCTGTTGGCCTGAGGGCGAAGGTCTGACGTGGCCTGGGTGCGTACCATGGACAGGGAGGTGCTGAGCTCCGTCCTCTCCAGGGGCTGGTTCATTCTGGCATTTCCATGACCCTCTGGCCCTGGGAGGGAGGGGGAAGGAAAGGAGAAGGCACATCGTAGGTTCAGAAACAGACACAGGTGGTGACTTGCCTAGGCTGTTCCGGTCAAGTGGCTGAGCTGGAATTCAAAGCCAGCCTGTCTGGCCCTTGGGCAAGTGTTTCCTCCAGAAAAGGAAAAAACTGCAGTGTTTCTTTCTTAAAGCAGGGGATGAGGGAGGGAGGGGGCGGGAGAGTGGAAGGAGGGGGAGAGGCGGTATTATGCAGGGGAGACGACGCTTTCTCTTCAAACCTCCCGCTACCTTCCATGCTTCGGAGGGCACGCCCATGGCCATCCCCCCCACAAAGAGGGGCAAGGCTTTGTCGCCACGTCCTCAAGCCCCGTGGGAGCCGCAGCTATATAAAGCACGTGTCCCGATGTCCCCTGAACATGGCCCTGTCCTCCAACCTGCATTTCCCTGGTGCCTTCAGAATTTAGGGGGCTTCCTCTCACCACCGAGTCCCATCCTCAGCCTCATGTTTTTTACTCTTTCCTTTCCAGCATCCAGGGAAGCAGGGAGGCCCCTTATGCCCGGAGGTGGCCGCCTGCACGCATAGCCAGGCCACAGGCTGGGACACTCCTGATGTCAGAAGGGAGTGGCCACAGGCAGTCTCGGCGTCAGCATGAATTCCAGGCTCCTGTCGGCCAGAGACTGGCTCAGCACCCGCCCGCCCACCTCTGAGCCTAACCTAGAACCCGCCACGGACGGGCCCGCCTCCGAGCCCACCACCCTCGGCCCAGAAGCCACCAGCTTTAACGACACCAGGGTGCCTGGTGTGGGCAGCGGCGCAGCCGGCGTGGGCACGATGCTCCTGTCCTTTGGGATCATCACGGTGATCGGCCTGGCCGTGGCCATGGTGAGAGCCGGGCGGCTGGGCTATCCCGTGACCTTCCGTTGGAGGAGGGGTCAGGTTCGGATCGTAGAGAATCTGATTGAAGACAGTTGTCTGTTCACGATCATGCAGTCCTCCCCTTCCCCGGGCACCTGTCCACTGGGGCCCAGGGACCAGAGAGGCCGCCTCCAAGCGGAAGAACCGGAGAAGGTCTGAGAAACGCATGGTGCTTTGAGCTGGGCCACGAAGGCCACACAGGAGGGGGGAGGGTGTTTTCCGGGAGGAGGTTCCTGGTGGGCAGAGTTTGGAGGCGGAAGGTTCTGTGAGCAGCGCGCAGCCCAGGCCCCGATGAGGGTGGGGGCTACAGGAGTCTCGGAGTCTGGGCGGAGGCTCTGCGAACGCAGGCCCGGGGCGTGTTCATTCATTCATCCACTGGCACCTGCCCTGGATCAGCCGTCAGCACCCCACAGAGCAGGGAGACAGGGTCCTGCCCTGGTTCTTACAGGGAGTGGAAGACATAAAACGGAGGCACCAGGGAAGCGCACAGGGACTGGGCTCGGGGTGCGGGGGGCGCCTTTCCAGGCTGGGTGGTGAGGACAACCGAGGAGGCCACCTCAGAGCTGCGGCCTCGGGGCGGAGCCTGGCCCACGTCACGGGAAAGGCAGAGGGGCAGACATGAGGATGGAGGCTGTTGCGGGGGGGGGGGGGGTGGACGGGGGGCGCTGCAGGGTCCCCGCTGGTGCACAGGGTGTTGCCAGCGCTGGCATCTGCACCTGGAGGTCTGAGCTTTTTTTTTTTTTTTCTTTAACCCTCACCCGAGGACATTTTTCCACTGATTTTTAGAGAGAGTGGAAGAGAGAGGGAGAGACAGAGAGCAACATCAACGTGAGAGAAAGACATCGATAGGTTGCCTCCTGCACGCGCCCCGACCAGGGCCCGGGCTGGGGAGGAGCCTGCAACGAGGTACCTGCCCTTGACCGGAATCGAACCCAGGACCCTTCGGTCTGCAGGCCGATGCTCTATCCCCTGAGCCACACCAGCTAGGGCGAAGGTCTGAGCTTTTCCTCTGAGACGATATAGGGACACGCAGAGCGTCCTGAGGGATCACTGGAGATTGTGCAGGCTGAGGCCAGGCAGGGCGGGTCCCCTGCGGTCCCCCAGCGGCCTGGCAGCGGTGGCTCCTGCCCGCGCCCCTCGCAGGCTCCGGTGGCCTCAGCTCAGGACGTTGCTCTGACACACAGGCTGCGGATGGTCCGTCCGTGGCCAAGTTGCCATATGGCCCCACGGGCCCCGGATCACAGCCAGGGAGTGAGTGCCGGCCAGCAAGAGGGCCGGACGCGACACCCGGAGCGAGGCGGGCTGAGCAGTGTCTCGGGGCGGGCGGGGCAGAGCGCCAGCGCTTCCCCTTGGCACCCACATGGGGTTAAACAGCCGGAGACACCCCAGCTTCAGGGGCCAAGCAGGACCTAGAACAGGGGTGGGCAAACTTTTTGACTCGAGGGCCACAATGGGTTCTTAAACTGGACCGGAGGGCCGGAACAAAAGCATGGATGGAGTAATTTGTGTGAACTAATATAAATTCAAAGTAAACATCATTACATAAAAGGTTACGGTCTTTTTTTTTTTTAGTTTTATTCATTTCAAATGGGCCGGATCCGGTCCGCGGGCCGTAGTTTGCCCACAGCTGGCCTAGAACCTGCCCTTGTAATTTTCCATGGAAGATTGTTATCCCAGGACCTTGGGAGAAGTCCCTCGCCCTGGGTCCTGGAGGAACATCACAGGGCCAGGGGGGCAGCCTTCTTGCCAAAGCCGAGGGGTAGGGGGGTTACGGGCAGAGGCATGGAGGGCAGGACACAGCTCCTGGGCACCAGGAGACAGGCCCATAGATGCTCCCCGAGCACTGCTTCCTCTCCCTCATGCCAGCCTCAGCCCTGCCATGCTGGGTGCAAGGAGGAACGGGTCAGTGCCAGGCTGTGTCCCACCGGAGGGCTTCCTGGAGGAGGGGGCTGCTGCTGGACAGTGAGGTTTGTTTTTTTAACATGTTTTTATTGAATTCAGAGAGGAAGGAAGAGAGATAGAAACATCAGTGACGAGAGAGTCATTGGTTGGCTGCCTCCTGCACGCCCCGAGCCGGCAACCTGGGCATGTGCCCTGACCAGGAATCGAACCGTGACCTCCTGGTTCATAGGTCGATGCTCAACCACTGAGCCATGCCGACTGGGCCTGTCTCCTGTCCTCTTCGCTCACTGGGCCTGGAAGAATGGGAGGAGGGGTGTGCTGAGGTGATGCCCTCCCCCTTCAGCCCTGAGGAGTCCCAGGCAGGCGCCGAGTGCCTGGAGCCGCGGGCAGTGCGGGCAGCGGTGGGCCTACCAGCCGCCTGGGAAGACCAGTCGAGCCACCTTTGCCCGCACTGCTCCTCCAGGGCATGTCGGCCTCTCACGCACCTCAAAGGGAGACACACGTGCAGGAGGCGTGTGTCCTGGGGTGGGGTCCTGAGGACTTGGGGACCCACGGTCTCCATTCACCAGCCTCAGCATGGCCCCTGCCCTGAGGCCGCTGCTAATCAGGGCCCCTTCTCTTGCAGGTCCTGTACATCAGGAAGAAGAGGAGGTAACTCCCCCCCCGCCCCCCAGCACTCCAGCCATGGCGGCGCGGGCGGCTCAGGGCATGTGGGTGGGAAAGGGGAGCCCTCACCGGGAGAGCCCCCCCACACCCCCACCCCCGCCATCAGCGCCGGGCTCCCTGGTCAGGGAGTCAGGGCGAGGGTAGAGGGAGGCCACTTTCTCTGCAGGAAGGTTGAGCCCACTCCCTGGGATCTCACACGGGCCAGGCAGGTGTGACCCTGGGATGGGGGGGAGGGGGGGAGGGAGAGAACGGGGGAGGCGGGGATTACCTCCAGCCAACTGCCCAGCCACCCGTGCCAGGCCGTGCCGGCTGCTCTGAGCTAACTGCCACGGACCCCTCCCCCACCCGCCGCCCAGCGGCTGTGGGTGGCACAGGCCGGGCCTAGGCAGTCCCCCGGGACCCACGGGTGACGCTCTGACACGGTGCCTCCCAGGCTGGCGCAGAGCCGGCTTTCAGTTCGTCGCAGGGAAATGGCGGCTCCTGGCGTGGCTGTGAGCTGTGGCTCAGCTGGCCAGCCGGCAGGGCCTGCGGGGAGCGGGGAGGGCCAGCCGTGTCCCAAGCAGCCTCTCCCGCTCCCCCCCCCCCCGCCCCCCAGGCTGGAGAAGCTACGCCACCAGCTCATGCCCATGTACAACTTCGACCCCACGGAGGAGCAAGACGAGCTGGAGCAGGAGCTGCTGGAGCACGGCCGGGACGCCGCCTCCGCGCAGGCCCCGCAGGGCAAGGTGGGCGCTGCCCGGCTCCCCACAGCCCGCGCCCCCACCTCCCTCTTCCTTCCTCCTGCACCTTCCAGCACCCGCCAGGAGGTTGCGGGCAGCTGTTTGGGAGGGGGGGAGGGGTCAGGTTTGTTGAGAAATCGGCAGAATTGCTCTGTGGCCCACACCCCTCCGCGCGAGGCCAGGCCGGGGCAGCCCGGGGAGCCCCCTGGCCGCTGGGAGCCCGGTCTGCTCCTCTGCGAATGCGAATCTCCGCTCCTTCCCCTGTGCCCGGGGCGGCTGGCAGAGCAGGAGGGGCCTGGGGCAGATGCTGCGGACGGGCCTGGCCCCTCTGCTCCCGGAGAGCCGGGGCGGTTGGGTCCCCGGGGGCAGCGCAGCTCTGAGTAGACTGATGGGTCCCTGGTCACGGACAGACCCCAGGCCGGTGGGCCTCGCCTCCTGCGTCCACAGGGCGGGGCCTGTGTGGTCTTCCTGCCGGAGTCATGGGCTGCCCGGCCGCTTGCCGTCAGGCCCCAAACCCCAAGGGCCACAGCAGCAGGAGGAGGCCTGGTCCCCCCATGGAGGCCCTTTGCATCCCTCCTCCCTGACCCACAGGCCGCGGGGGAAGGGTCTGGCCCTACCGGAGGCAGAATTAGGGGACTGGACCCAGGCAAAGCCCGGCCTGGGGGCCAGAGGCACCTTGGTTTGGCCCCCAGTCCCGGTCACTGCGCTCAGGACACGCTGCCCTGGGGATCGTCAAGAAATGGGGCTGAGATCGCAGTCGCCGGCCCATGGGACTCCTGAGCCGTGACAGCTGCTTTCTTTTTTCTTTTTCTTTTCTTTTTTTTTAAAATATTTTTACTGATTTCAGAGAGGAAGGGAGAGAGAGGGAGAAGCATCAACGACCGGCTGCCTCCTGCACGCCCCCCACTGGGGATCCAGCCCACAGCCTGGGCATGTGCCCTGACCAGGAATCCAGCCGTGACCTCCTGGTTCCTAGGTCGACGCTCAGGCAGAGCCAGCTGCTCTCTGTGCAGCCGCCACCGGGCCTGTGCCGGGCTGGGCTGTGAGGTGAGCCCTGCTCCCCGGAAGCCGTGGCGCCTGCATCAGCAACCAGCCCTGGCCCGGTGCGTGCTGCCCGGCCACTGGGCATGGCGTCGGGAGGGGCCCTCTGCGCAGGCCCGGTTTCTAGGCTGAGCTGGCAGGGAGGCCTGGGCGGCAGCGGGGAGTGGGGCGCCAGGCCAGAGAGCGCGTGGCCTTGGCCGAGGCCCCTGATGCCCTGACTCTCCCCACAGACCACCCTCCCGGCCCAGGGCCCAGTGCAGAGACCCAGCCGGCTGGTCTTCACCGACGTAGCCAACGCCATCCACGCGTGAGCGACCCGGGGACGGGCCTGGACCTGCTGCCACCGGCCTCGGCACCCACAGAGCTGCCTGCGCTCGGACCCGCCCGCTAGGGCCCAGCCGCGCGGCCCCACCTGCTGGCTCCAGGCCGGGCCCTGGCCTCCGCCGTCCCCTGATGTGAGGCCCAGCGCCCTGTCAGGAAGGCCGAGAGCCACTGCCGGCTCCTGTGTTTTGCACAGACCCCTCGCACCCGGTCTGCTGCTCTCCGTGGAGGAAGTGGGGAGACGGGGAGAGGAGGGGAGAAGGGAGGGGAGAGGTGACCGCCCCGGTGTGGGGACAGTGTGGTGGCACCCAGGGTCGGAGCTGACACTGCCCCCTGGGCGAGGAGCCAGGAGGGCCGCTCCCGCCCACAGGTCCCCGTTGCAGAGCGTCCAGAAGCCTTCCCGCCGCCCCTCCCTGCAGCCGCCTAACGGGACGAAGCTGAAGGGGAGGGGAGGTGGGGGCAGGGGTGGAAGTGGGGGCATAGGCAGTGCCCAGACCTGCTGGAAGGCCTCGTGCAGGGGCAGGAATGTGCCACGCACAGATGGCGCCAGTGCCAGGGGCAGGAGGCAGACCCGCTGTTTGGCTCCACCCTCAGGCTGCCCAGCCCCCAGGGTGTGGGGAGCACAGGGCACGTCACCTCTGCCCTCCACGCTCAGGGATGAAGGAAGGGGGGGAACAGGGCGAGGGTCAGTGGCCCCCATCTCTTCACTGGGCGCTGCAGGCGGCCCTGCCTGTGGTGTGCGGGGCCTGGGGCTGGGCATCTGTTGGTCCGAGAGCCACGGTCATGGCTGCGGCCAATGGGGGGTTCTGACTGCCTGAAGGGGGTGGGGTGATACCCCCTCCCCACCCATGGTCCACCTCAGGGATTCTACCAGGCAGGCCAGACTCCAGGAGCCGGGCATGCAGCGGCCTGGGCACACACAGCAGCTGCCCCGTGCCCGCCTCGCCCCCTGCCCGCCTCGCCTCCACGTCATTGTCCTCCGCTGGTTGGAGGACGCGGGGGCGGCGTACAGATCTGTCGGGCAAATTGCACGTGTCAGGATGTGGGGGCCTGGAAGGCCTGTGGGGACGATTCGGGAAGGAGCCCCCCAGACGCTATAAATAGGGTGTCACTTGCGCTCGAGGCTGGAATTGGCCTCATCTTCCCGCGAGAGCATTAAAGACGCTGCAGGACGTTTCCGCGGAGAGTGAGCCTGTGACTCGGGGTGACCCCGGGAAGGGGGGCTGGGGTGGGGTAGAGGCGTGCACCCCGGCTACGGGGCACCAGGGGGTTTTCCTCCATCTGGCCCTGCGTCTGGGGTTGCCCAGGGCCTCACGCGTCCGCTGTGGACGGTGCCAGCCGCCAGCGCCAGAGGAGGGCTGCGTCCCGGGGCCAGGGCGGGGGTGGGCCCCAGGACACCAAGGGAGCAAGATCACATGCTTTCCTGAGCGAGGGCCGGGAGGGGGGCGGGGAGCCAGGCGGGGGTGTGGGGGACTCTCCTGCAGGGCCAGAGGGTTTGGGGGAGAAGGACACAGGTGACCAGCCATGCAGGCGTCCTCAGGACGGTCCCACTTTTACCATTTAGATCCCACCACCCGGGAGCCCAGTGGCCCGAGCCTCCCCGGGACACTGAGGCTTCAGGCTGCTGGGAATAGAACTCAGGGGGAGCCCCCGGTTCCTGGGCTGGAGGGGGGTCTCCATGGGAGGGGGAGGGGGAGGGCCCCCAGCACCCCGGGGCCACCCCACTGGGCAGACAGCTGGCCTGTCCTGACAGCCATGGTCTAGGGAGCGCTATGACTCAGCAGACCGCCAGGGGGCGCCTCCGTCCCAGCATGTGAAGCTGCAGGGCCCCATGTGGGGTGGGGGGCAGGGGGGGACCCTGAAAGGGGCCTGCAGAGCAAGATGGCACCCAGGACCCCCTCCCATGCTCCCCTGCCCGCCTCACACCTCCTTCCCAGGGGGCGACAGGGCCCTTCCTCGTCCCTGTCCCTCCCAGTCACCTCCTCTTTCTTTCCCCCACTTTCTGCTTTCCAGCTCTCCCAGCCCTGGAGGAAAACCAAGTCTCCCAAGTCCCCGGGCTGCCACGGAGGGAGGGGAGCAGCAGGCACCATGGGGGAGCGGGGCTCTGGGTCATGTCCTCCGTGTGACCTTGGGCCTAGGGGCTGCCCACTGCCAGGCAGACGGGGTGAGACAGAGCTGCTGCCCCATGACTGCTCCTGGGGCAGGCTGTTAACGGGCCCTGGGAAATGCCCCCGGGCACTCAGGCAAGGGCGGCAGAAGCCAGCCCCCTCCTCAGGTGCGGGGGGGGCGGGGCAGGTGCCGGGGGTGCAGGGGCAGAACCAGGGTTAATGTGGGGGGCGCCTTCCGACGGGCCATCTGGTTTCATAAAGTGAAGTGTCACCTTCGAGCAGACACCAGGGCTGCCTTCAGAATGTGAAGGAAAGTTCCTGGCGGGAGAGGGGGGCAGGGGCGGGGGCAGGAACTCCAGACAGCAGTCTGACCTGGACACGGATCCCTTCCAGAACCTCACTGAGCCCCCTGCGGGCCCAGCCGCGGAGCTGCCCGCGAGCTTGTCGCGTCTCTGCTCCTCATTCCAGACCCAGGCAGCCGGCTGTCAAACAGGGAAAAGGACGAGTGTGTGGGCCTGTTGTATCCACACACACTCTGTCTATATCTTTTTCTAAATATATTCTTACTGATTCCAGAGGAAGGGAGAGGGAGAGAGAACCATCAGTGAGGAGAGAGAACCATGGATCGGCTGCCTCCCGCACGCCCCCTGCTGGGGATGGAGCCCACAACCCCGGCATGTGCCCCGACTGGAGTCGAACCCAGGATCCTTCAGGCTGCAGGCCGACGCTCTATCCACTGAGCCAAACCAGCCAGGGCTATGTCCACTAGGTGTACCGGTTAGTACTGCAGATTTTTTTCCATAGGCGGAGTTATGCATATGTTGATTTATATGCGATTTGATATGTCTGCTATTTTGTTGTGTTGACAACAAGCTTCAAAATTTCATATGTCAAATTTTCTGAAGGTGTTAACATCATAGATATTTTTACACTTAAAAATGTCGAATTTCATGCCCCAAAAAAAGAACATTTGTGGGAAGTTTTAATTCATTATTTTGAAGAAAAAGTGATCGTATACTTCGGGAAGCTTATGGTGAACATGCTCCATCTCAAGATACCTGTGAACGCTGGCTTAAACGCTTTAAAAGTGATGATTTCGATGTGAAAGACGAAGAACGTCCAGGTCAACCGAAAAAGTTTGAAGACCAACAATTCCAAGCATTATTGGATGAAGATGCGTGTCAAACTCAAAAACAACTTGCAGAAAGATGAAACGTTGCTCAGCAAACAATTTCTGGTCGTTTACAAGCAATGGGAACGATTTTAAAGCAGTGCTTCTCAACCTTGGCTGCACATTAGAATCACCTGGGACTCTTTTTTAAAATCCTGATTTCTGTGCCCGTTGCTGAGGGTCTGGCCGGCGAGAATGTAGCAGGAAGACAACGCCAGACACCCCAGCCCCAGGCCGCCGGCTCTGCCCTCGGGCTGCGGGTCAGACAGCAGAGGAGGCTGTGCTCCCCCGGCCGCCACCTGCCCAGCCCTGAGCGCGCGCGCGTTTGTGTGTGTGTGTGTCTGTGCGCGTGGGGGGGGGGGGGGCGAGGGGATCAGCTCTACTTCCTGGGGCGCAGCAAGAGATAAAGGGGCTCCGGGCAATAACAGTGCCGATCAAACCCGCGTCATAATGATGAGGCGTGAGCTACAGGGCTCATCCCATGTGCCAGACACGATGGACCAGCTCATGGAGGGAGGCCAGGCCCGTGTGCCCACTGCCCACCCAAGGGCTGCTCACTTCTCAGGTGCCCACGGCTCAACAGTGCCCTGAAGGGGCCTTGGACTCCCTCAAGGGCCAGGAGCTGGTCCTAGTAACACCCACCCTCGATTGGCTCCATCCCGGCCCAGTCTCCCCCTCCCCCCGTCTCACCCTCCCCCAGTCTCACCCTCCCCCAGTCTCACCCTCCCCCAGTCTCACCCTCCCCCAGGTCTCACCCTCTCCCAGTCCCACTCTATCTGCAGTGCCCTTCGCAAAGGCAAACTGTCACCCACGTTAAAGAAAGGAGATTTTAAAAGCCATAAATAAATAAAATAAAAAAGAGAAGAGGAGGCTCCAGCCCCCAGACACGGGGCCGTCAGGTCTAGAGCCAGGGACTCGGCTCTTCTCACTGTTCCCGGGGCGGGTCAGACAAGCCCTAGAAACAGGGCGCCGGCCTGAGGGTGGGGACAGGCTTCCCCGCCTTCCTGCCTCCAATGCCACCCTGTGCTGCCACCTGCTGGAAGCTACAGGCACTGCAGGGAGCCCTCCTGCCCCACCCCCACCCCTTCAGCCAGGCCACCCTCTGGTGGCCCCATCCTTGAACCCCCCATCACTCAGCCTCTCCCCCATGTGGCCTGGAGAGCAGCCCTCACACTGAAGGCCCCGATGGGGAGTGGGGGGCTCATCTGGTAGGACAGGACCCGGACTAGGGGGAGGTGCTGAGGTGATGTGTGTTGGGGGGAGAGGGGGGTCTTTAAGAATCCCCAGGCCAACGGGGCGACTCCCAGAGACCACGCCCATTCCACTCCCTCCAGAGGGACCCAGGAGGTCTGTTCCCACCCACAAGTGGTGACGCCCCAAACCTGTGGGTGGATGGACCCCATTTGCCTTAGCAGTGGTTCTCAACCTTCCTCATGCCGCGACCCTTGAATACAGTTCCTCATGTTGTGGTGACCCCCAACCATAAAATTATTTTCGTTGCTACTTCATAACTGTAATTTTGTTGCTGTTATGAATCGTCATGTAAATATCTGCTATGCAGGATGTATTTTCGTTGTTACAAATTGAACATAATTAAAGCATAGTGATTAATCACAAAACAATATGTAATTATATATGTGTTTTCCGATGGTCTTAGGCGACCCCTGTGAAAGGGTCGTTCGACCCCCAAAGGGGTCGCGACCTACAGGTTGAGAACCGCTGCGGCTTAGAGGGAGGAAAGGCACTGTGTTCGGAGCCCTTCCC